TACGATGGGAGCTTCCATCTTTAATCTGAAGACACTTAAACGTATGCGCCATCTTGTGGCAACTTTCATAACGATCCCAACAAACATTCCTTTGAGAAGGTTCCTGATACCATCCTTGTGCCCTCCACTGTTTCGGCGTGTATGTGAACACATTTGGGACTAACAGGGTTTACTAGAATCCCACCACTCCACCACAGAGTCACCGCAGTATAGACGTTAGATGAGCGCTGTCGCTCCGCGGCACTTGTTTGTGGTGAGCTACAGTGTCATTGACACTTTCATTAGAATATAGTGAGCAAATAGCCTACATTACTGTTTTACCTGAATGATATCACACCATAATTTATCAACATTTTACAAATTTGAAATCGAAAATGCAAGCGTGAAACATGACATTGATTTAAAAAAAGAAAGAAATAGAAATTGCTGTTACCAGCCATCTGGGCCAGTGCAAAAAAATCTGAATTTCGTCCCCCTGGGTTATAGTAATGCTGAGAGTGTCTATTTCCCCCAGGGTATACTGCCGGAACGTACCCTGGTATTATCTAATATGCCGGACCGTACCTCGCCTACTCCACTAACGAGTCTAGGGAGTCGCCTATATAGGCCTACTCCCTAACCCGAACCATAACCCTAACCCTAACCCTAACCATATCAAATAGTTACCAGGGTACGTTCCGGTATACCGGACCGTACCCAGCATACGTTAATTCCGGCTGTACCCTGGGGGACATAGACCCTATGAGCGTTAGTAACATATCAAGAGCAAAGTTATGTCAAAGCAGGTTTATGCATGTGCCCTTGGTATCTTCCTGTCTATAGCCCAAGCCAGCACGCTGGTGTTTTTGGTGTCTGTACGTGCGCGCAGCTACACGTCAGCTTACGGTGATTGAGTTGCATTCCTAAATAAAAGAGATTAGAGTTAGTGTTCGGGTACAGTCCTGAACGTATCTATACTATCAGGAGTAAGATAATGATCTTACTCCTGATACTATGTATACACGTAAACGTGAAGGAGTGAATAAAAACATTTGTTTTTGTTCTCTCATGATGTTCGTGATGTAGTACGTGTTATGACATATTTTCAGCAATTGCAATTGGGCAGATCCTCTTGGACTGTATTACCTACCAATTTGTGAGAAAAGGCATCCACCAATAGCAGAAGATAGGGTAACTGTCTGAAGGAGATGAGAAGCTATAAACAGTAGAGATATATGATCCTACATGTATCTACAGTTCACATAAACGACCATACTTGTTATTCATGCGCTGGAACTTTTGACTAATAAATTGGTTTATTACCGGTACTCCAGGGGCTTTCACTGACGAGGCCATCTATAGCAAGTGCGCACGGGTCCACACACCACTGCACACGTGCTACTACCGCCACCATGACGGACACTGTGGTAGAGGGTGCCACTGAGGGCAAGCAGGAGAATGGTAGCAGCTCCCCCACAGAGAGACATGATGAGAGTGTGGGTGAAGAAGAGGCATTGAAGGTATACTGTGGCTGGGTGTGTGTAGTGAGTACGACAATGCGTGGCTGAAGAAAACCTGTGCCGATAGATGGTACATGAACACTATGTAACAGGCGTAATTAAATCGTATGCAGACCTACAATCGTAATTCCTAACCTTAACCCTAAACTTAACCATAACCATACAACTCTAACCCTAACCCTAAACTTGATTATAAACACGTAATTCTATCCCTAACCCTAAACTTAATCATAACCATAACTCTATACCCCTAACACTCAACTTAAAATCATAACTGTAACTCTACCCATAACCCTAAACTTAATCATAACCATAGCTCTAACCCAGTCTACCCCTAATATAAACTTAATCAAAACCATAACTCTATCCCAAACCCTAAACTTATTTATAACCATAACTCTTACCCTAAACTTAATCATAACCATAACTCTACCCCAACCCTAAAGGCATAGAACACGAATCTCACCGTGTGCAGGGTCGATATATGTGAGTTTTCGGTCTCGCGAGGCGGTGAGGAAAATATCTGTCATGTTTGATAATTAGCTCATCTGACATAGTCAGATGCAGCTTGTAGAATCGCATGAGCGTGCGTGCAGGCGTCCGTAAACAGTTGGGCACAA